CCTTTTCTTGTCTAACAAATCAGTTCATTATTCCTTTCGGTCAGTATGTCTGGCGGTCACCCGTCTGAGAACCCTTGTCTCCTTTTCTGTGCTCGTAGGAGGCTCAGAAAACGCCCAGCGGTGCGTACGAGGGTCTGGCCCTCACGAAGTCCTCCGGGAAGCTGATGCTGTTGCAGAAGATGCTGAGGAAGCTGAAAGAGCAGGGCCACAGAGTTCTGGTCTTCTCCCAGGTCTGCGGACGCCTGGCGACGGGTCACCGGAGGGGCCCCCGGCGCCGACGTGTGACGCATGTCTCTCTGTGAGCAGATGACGAAAATGCTGGACCTACTGGAGGACTTTCTGGACTACGAGGGCTACAAGTACGAGAGGATTGACGGAGGCATCACTGGAGCTCTGAGACAGGAGGCTATTGACCGATTCAACGGTGAGTCCTTCCACTCCACTTTCCCTCCTCTAAAGCAGTTTGATTCAGCGTCCAGAAGAAGGAAATGCTCACTTGGGTCAACTATTGATGATATTCAGTCATTTATGATGAGTAATGCTACTTATAGCCCCCCACACCCCCCCCATGGAACAGCTTAGTCAGGATTTGTGACCTCATGTCTCTGGATGTTAATGTTACAATTCAATAGGACTCTCAACTGGATTTTGAAACAAACTGAATGAAAATACAAAAAAAATTGTAGATAAATAGAAAAAAGATAAATTAATAGATACATCAAAACTAACTAAATTAGGATTTTAAAAATGTATAAAGGAAAAATATAGCTAAATAAATACATACAAGCAAACTAAATCAGGATTTAAAAATAAACAGAAAAAAATTGATAAATAATCTAAAAATGAATAAAATAATAATAATCAAATAATAACAAAATAAATACATAATAATGAAACAATAAATTAATTATAAAAATCTATATAATTTCAAACAGAATAAGATACCTATTACAATATTTTTGATTAAAAAAAGATTGAGATTAAAATAAATTAGATAAATGAATAAACACGAGTCTTGAAAGTTGGTTCTTAGTTTGGTTTTACGAACATAAATATCGCCCTCCTTTCTGGAGGAAAGATTAAATAAGTCAGGATTTGGGACCTCATATCTCTGGATGTTGATGTTACAATTCAATACACTGATCAGCTTTAGAGCTCAACTAAAACTATGGATGAAAACAAACCAGTCATGTGACCACTAAACTCTTAACATTTCCTTGTGATGCTTATATCGTATATTATATGTTCTTTCTTATGTATTTGCCTGCCTAGGGACTACGGATGAAAACTAGCTTTGTAGCTATAATCCGGCATATTTACATTTGTTTTTATACTCATGTTCATTAATGTGCTTTGTCCCTATTGAAATAAATAAATAGGACTCTGAAGCAGCTCTCAGAGATTTTAAGGTAAAAATGGATGATAAACTGACAGGTCTTTGCTTTCATTCTGCTTCTCCTTTGGGTTTTTTCTTCCTCCAGCTCCGGGCGCTTGTCAGTTCTGCTTCCTGCTCTCGACCCGAGCCGGCGGGCTGGGCATCAACCTGGCCACGGCGGACACCGTCGTCATCTTCGACTCGGACTGGAACCCCCACAACGACATCCAGGTGCGTTTGCCGGAGCAAAGCGGCGTTTTCCGCGCGGCGCCGCGGCTCAAACCGTTTTTCAACGAGAGTGGCTGGGGGACGATCTGCTAAAGCTTGTCCGTAAATATCAGGCTTCTAGACAGAGTATGTAGTAACAAATTGACCCTCTAGGGGGCAGTGCCACTTTTGATGGGAGATGAGCATAAACTGTAGGCAAATAAGAAAAACGCAATTGTTCGTTATGCGAGAAATGACACCAATGAGACGCAAATCGAGGAAGAACGGAATAAGGTAGAAACAACATTTTTTTCCTGATAAAAGAAGAGAGTCTTTCCCTCTCCGCCCTCTTTCAGGCCTTCAGCCGAGCCCACCGGATAGGACAGGCCAACAAGGTGATGATCTACCGCTTCGTGACGCGCGCCAGCGTGGAGGAGCGCATCACCCAGGTGGCCAAGAGGAAGATGATGCTGACGCACCTGGTGGTGCGGCCGGGCCTGGGCTCCAAGGCCGGATCCATGACCAAGCAGGAGCTGGACGACATCCTCAAGTTCGGAACGGAAGAGCTCTTCAAAGACGAGGGAGAAGGTGGGAGCGGTCACAGTTATGTTTATGTTTATGTCTATGCATTTGGCAGACGCTTTTATCCATAGCGACTTACAGATTAGACACAATATCACATTTCTCATCACTATGACAATAAGCTATATCCTCCTGAGACCCGG